CCAGCCACTGCAGGATTGGTCCCTACTTTATGAGTCTGATTCTGAGGAGTACTGGTAATCTACTAAATTCCATTGACTTCAGCATCTATTGTAACAGGATCACTCCCTATATTTTCTCCCAGGCAAGTTTTAAAATGCACTAGGATCCTATCACTCCACTCTGGAGACTATTCCACATGATAGAAGTCTGAGCTGAACTCCTGAATAGAATCAATAACCCTAATTGCTTTCCCCGAAGGCAGATATGGTCTCCTCATGCAAGATATGTCCTTATACTAAATACAGATATTCACATAGTATTATTTCCTTTTTGTATTACAGTGGTGATAGGGGGCCCAGTCAGGGATCGTGGTCACTATACACACAATTTTTTTTTAAATAAAAGGGTGGCATTTCTTGCCCCTCATTGCTCATAATAGCCTAGAATGTGGAGAAACCTGTACTATGGACACTTACAATAAGCAAATCTATCTCTAAAGTGTTTCCAAGACTTCCGGTAATAACTTTGTTTGATCTTTAATTAAAGACCAAGCATTAGCTGGCAATCAGAATCTGCTGATCCTGTTGGTGACGTAGACTGTTTTACTGCAAATTATAAATATTTTTAACTGTTTCATTACTTTGTATGTTTTACATAAGCACTGTGCCCAGAGCAGCATTGACAAGACACTCACTGTTAAATAATCTCACTTAACTTCTTAATCTGAGAGGAACAACACTCCACCTGCCACATTATCTAAAGACTCTTGCAAAGTACATTAAACATTCAACATCAGTAGGTGCCCTACTGTAGTTCATCTTGTCAAGAGTGAAATTTCAGTCCCTAAACATAAGGATGACTGCCTGATGCGGTCTGTCTGAAACAATAAATAATGCAAATAGGTATCCATAGAAAATAAGAGGTTAAAAGCATTGATAGCTTTTCCATTGGGTTCTGCTAAAGGAGGGTCCCGTTGGAAATGACTTTTAGATCACGATGACAAGATGGCAATAGGAACGATGCTGAAATAAAGGGCAGGTGTGTGTTGGTTTCTTTTATTTCTGAGTGAATCTAGTGGTTTTGAAAGGGATATCTCTGAAGATTGATGTCCTCTACTCATACAAAACCTACATCACAAGGAGAGGCAATTACAGGTTCCCCATACTGACCCCTCCTGCCCTGAAAGGACCACTTCTATGGGTGAATGTGTAGTACAGTTTCCTGGCAATTAATCCCTGAGCTTGGCACTTAGGATGCTAACAAAGGTGCCAGTTATAATGCTGGTCCCTGCTGCTGAGAATCGGACACTAACCAATCATTTCATGTAGGACCTCAAATTGCCAATTGCCTAGTGATTAAAGGAAAGTGTTTTGCTTATGAATTTGGCTAAATGCTTTCTTTGTTGTACTGTATTCATTATTATGCCTTGCATTGCAATAGCATTCCGGAGTCCCAGTCATGGTCCAGGATCCTGTTGTGCTGGGTATTGTACAAAGACAGTCCCTGCCCCAAGAGCTAAGCATTAGCGTATGAGAAAGAGTTAGTAGGAACACTTAGTTTACCTTCTCTAGCCCATTCATTGTTTTACACATGTTCTCTATTACTTGCCACTTCCATCGGTGCCGACTTCCCCTCTTTCCCATGGGTGCTCGACCCCCCTCTCTGCCCCCGCTGCCACTCCTCACCTTCCATGAGGCCCCGTCCCTGCCCTGCCTCTTCCCACCCCTGCCCCATCCCCATTCCAACCCCTTAACGAAGTCCCCGCCCCAACTCCATCCCCTCCCTGCCCCTATTCCAACTCCTTCCCCAAATCCCCGCCCTGGCCCTGCCTCTTCCCCACCTCCTCCCCTGAGCGTGCCGCGTTCCCGCTCCTACCTCTCCCTCCTGGAGCATGCTAATGCTTCCAAACAGCTGTTTGGCGACAGCTGGGCGGGAAGCGCTGGGAGGTAGGTGGAGGAGCGGGGATGCGGCACGCTCAGGGAAGGGGGAGGAGAAGGAGGAGGAGCAGGGGGTGAGGGGAGCTTGGCTGCCAGTGGGTGCAGAGCACCCACTAATTTTTCCCTGTGGGTGCTCCAGCCCCGGAGCACGCCCGGAGTCAGGGCCTATGGTCACTTCTCTAAATTGAATAGTCCCAGTCTTCTCATTGACCTCTCATGCGGTATCTTCTCATGCCTCTAATAATTTTCAGTACCCACCTCTGGATGATTCTTGTGGGGATAAATGAGAAAGAGATATTTGCAACTGTAATGTAACCCATGAACACACCAGGCAATTCGTCAGAGAGATTTGGGCTTCACAATATAATATAGTGCTGACCCTGCTCTATAGCGTGTTGTGCTGTCTCACAAGGTTGGCTTAGCGTGCATCTATCAGAAGAGAAGGAGTAGGGGTTTCAGTGTCACAGATGGGTTGACAGATGGGAAGTGAAAGCTTAATGTGGAGCTGCCCTGGATAAAATATATTAATCCACAAAATTCATATGTTCTTATGCTGGGAAACCTAACAAAACAATTGCAATATAACTAACCAGAGTAAGAAGTGTAAACTGCTTTTAGTCTATTAGCTGGCAAATCACAGTATGGCATCTGAAGGAAAGAAAAAAACCCACAAATCCTTTTCTTGTTATTTCTTGGAATAATATGCAGCTTCCGACATGGTCTACAACCGTGGAGGAAATGTCTTCCTAAAGATTGTGAGGAACACCAATTTATAGCATCTCCACTTTGAAAATGAATATTGCATATTCATATATTTGCATATATTTTTGATGGGATAACATTTTACAGCGTTTATAATGATAAAAATATGTATTTGAATTTCTTTTAACTACACCTATATCTCAGTTATTAACGAAACAACATTTAAAAATAAAGAGTGTTCTTTGAAGTGCAGCTTCTAGGTGATTGACATGTTTGCGTAAATTCTGAAATTAGAGTATTTTGACAGAAATGGGAAGTGTGCACTTCCGACCAATGACCTACAGTTGAGAACCCAGATGCGATTTCAAAACAACAGAGAAGTGGAACTTCAGGATAGTTTCCACTGCTGGGAAGAAAAATGTGTTGTAATGTCTACACTCTAACTGCACTTGTTTAGGGCTTCCACTATTGAAAAAAATGTTAAATAACATTATATTATAATTGTGACTCTATTAAAATAGGGCTGGCCAAAGTCTCAGCTATACTGGGACAGTTTATGGCCATGTTTATAAATTACCAGCCAAGTTTGACTCTCTATTTAAACTTACCCCAGAGGGCACTAAATCTAGTACAGAATGTTACCGATCATGGCCCCAATCTCACAATAGATGCCCCAGTGCAGACTTTTGAGCCGACATGATGTCACCATAAAAATCCAGTCTCTAGTTCCTCTGCCCATTCCTTCATATATCATGGTTAGAGCTAACAAGATGCAGCTATTAGAATAACTCTGAGCTAGTTACACTGTACTTCCAGAGCTCTAGCACCTAATATCAGACTCATCCCTATCCAGGTCCCTAGAATCTGCCACCCTGTAAAGAGTGTCCTTGGACCATATGTCCCCTATCATCTCCCCTCACCATTGGTGTGCTGTGCCTTCCATTACACTACTGCTTGGGATCAGTATAGCACTCCTCAGCTTGAAAGTACTCTAGATGAAGAAACAATTTAGTCCTCCTAAACAACTAAGTGGGGGATGCAGGTAGGTGATCATTATTGTCTCCACTTGAGAGGTGGAATGATGAGTCATATTTGTTAAGAGACTTCCCCAAGTCTACAGAAAGGGTCTCAATCATCCAATATTAAAAATCTGGAGTTCCTATTTCAAATTCCTGCATTCAGATCACACACACACTCTCTAAGGTTCTTACTCTTTCAAGGTACTTTCCTGGCTGCTGCACACGTCCACAGAGCTGGCTGCATTTCACTGGTAATGGATATGTATGGTACCCAAATCCTGAAGCCCTTATTCAGTTTTCACTATATCTTTACTCAGGCAAAAACTTCCACTGACTTCAAACATAAACTTGAAGGAGAGTTTTTGAGTAAGGCCTTAAGGGTTTGGCTCGTAATTTGTGAGGTGCTGTGGAAGCTTTTGAGATGCAAGACTATGACAGAGCAAATGGAATATGAGATGCTAGTATTATCAGGAACACTTTACGGCATAATCACATGTAAAAAAAAATGACCCAACCAAGCCACTTCCCCTTCCTTAATTCCTTTCGACATGGTAGGGAGTAAAAGTTAAAAGGAGAATGGTTCTGTTCTTCATAATTTTTGCAGCCTAAAAATAACTGTTTACGCAGTTTTAGGTTTTTTTAACCGAGAATCTATTTATGCACAGTTTAGTGAAACTTATTGAATGCAGCTGTGGGGCACGAGTTCTGTAACTCCATAGTTTCACTTAGAATCACAAGCCTGGTCATGTGGTGATCCGTGAACTTCTATGTCTGTTGCCGTCTGAATGAAGTTATTCAGGCAACAGTTGGTGCTGAAGATATATATGATTCCCAGCAACTTATTTGTCACTTCTATCATCATTATCCTGAGCAGTAAAGCACCAAAAAAGAAATACCACAACATTTCTCTGATGGAATCTATCTATATGCATATCTTCCAAATTTCTTGAAACACAAAGTCCAGCTGTAGCAAACTGCTTACCAGAGTTCTGTGTGGGATAATTTTCTTCAAGTTTGAGGTTCACAAACTGAAGAATCAACACTCCTGAGCCAACTAGCTACAGGCAGTCCCAAGCATGAAAACAGTGTGCACACAGAGTGTTTTTGTGCTTGTGGTGCCATTGCCTCGGTAGCAAAAGTGCTGATGCCGGACCCAGTGACAATGAAATATGTTTTTCTTTTTGAGATAGGGAGAAGCTACAGCACTGAGCTTCCTGCTAGGGACTGACAAAACTGGTGCCCTGGTTGAATGTTCCTCTGTTTCTTGCATCACAGTACAGAAAATTTTGGCCTATATCTCATTAAAAGTCCATTGTTCATTTATGAAGGAAAAATACACATTTTAAAAAGGGGTCACCATACCTGATGGGATAGTCGGCGGCACTAAGATTAATGAAGAAATCCCAGGGCCAGTCATTCATCTCAATTAAATCCCTCATACTCTGTAGATAAGTGGACAGAAGACTTGCTCCTCCCCAGATAGTTGCCATTCGCCAAGGGGTGACTCTCACATTCGGATACTGGCTAGCAAACTGGAGCACTTTCCGGTGTAGGTAATTGGATCGCTTTACAGGGAAAGAAAGTAAAACGTTCAGCAGACTAGGAAAACAAATAAAATGAAAGGATCCTCCCCGCTTGTGTTCTCTAACCAACTGAACATCTTAAAACCTGATGTTTTTCAGATCAGTTGATTCTGGGCTGCAGTCAGTTTAATGTTAAGTAAAACAGTCTCTAAGGTGCCAAAAGGACTCCTCCTTGTTTTTTTAAAATACATTGAGACCTGTGAATGGTATCTGGGATTTGGTAATTTATCTAGCAAATATACTCCCAACAAAACTCAACAATTGATAGCCATTTCCCCCGTAAGATGTGCTAAAGAACACATCCCTTCATTCAGTGCAAGCTAATTTGAAAGTGTCAAGAGCCCCCTTTGTTTTATTCTCTTTGATCTCCCCTGGGGAGCACTGATTCCACTTTAAATGTACATCAGAGCCTACAATGACTTATTAGTTATCACTACAAAACATAGGACAGACAGATATGGACAGATACCATAGACACAAGGAGAAATGAAGGCAGTCACAGAAGGAAAGATTTAAAAAACAAAAAATACAGTCGGGCATAAAACACAGAACAGACGGAAAAACAAAAAGTGATACATACCGTATGCAGCAGAGATAAAAAGAATGTTGGAGAAGGTGACAAAGATGGACAGATTGACAAATGGTGAGACAGGCAATTTATAACCAGTGATATATTACCTTGTCAACATGAATGTAATAGAAATGGTCTTTATGGTAAATAGCCTTAAACATGCGTTGGAGCTGCCGAGAAGCTCTGCCATGAACAACCAAGACAAATGCGATCCTGACTGGGTTGGCAGGCATGTATTCTACGGAGTCCTCATCCCATAGTACATTGTTGTTGGCTTTTCCTGTTTGAAAACAAAACATAGTAAGGACATCTCTGAGTGCATCTGCAGAGTGGGGACACATAGAGCAGCTTGTATTCAATTTTGGCTCTTTTTTTCTTTTAAACAATTTTTAATGTGAACTGAGAACTCGTAAGAGGTGCCAGGTTGACTGCCCTAGAGATCAAACTCCTCTCTTTAGTCACAGAACAGGTTTCAGAAAGCATGAGCAGAAGCAATGCAAGCTTTCCTCATGTTGCCCTGCTTATGTGCCTCAGCCGGGGCCAGGAGGAAGTATTCAAATATTTTTGACCCTTAACTGAATCAAACCAAGCTCCACTGACTTCAGGGAAGTTATGAAGATTTGCACCAGCTCAGGATCTGTTGCAAAATCTTTTAAAGTTTGCTAAGCTGTATCCAGGGCAACACAACAGTGACAAAGACAGAAAAGTACTAGGGAATTGATTATATTTTGAATATTATTTAGCCTTTGTTGCTAGAAATCTAAATTAAAGCACAGCTACTCTTTATGTGGCATAAGCTCCCACAACTAATGGGCCATGCCCTTGCTTGGAGTAAATCAGCGCAGTTCCATTGAAGTTGGAGGAACCGTGCCAGTTTGCACAAGCAATGCCCTAATTATGTTCTTGTATTCCACTGGCATGACCAAAATATCAAACAACTATAGCATGTGCACTGCTGTAATGTCATCTGTAATAGCAGGCATAAATCAAAATGTTTAAAGGGTGACCTGCAAAATATGAGAAAATAAAACTGGGGTTTCAATTGCTCTTTGCTTCTTTTCGATGTAGAAGTGGGCCTGACAATACTTTTTTTTTAAATACAAATGTTTTTTCCTGCTTGTTTTTATATGAGAATTTCTGGTTTCACCTTGCCTGTTTGTTTCTCAAGAATACTCTATGGAGAACTAGACAACTAGTAAGATTATGACAAGAAGTGCTGAGTAATTGAAGAGCCAAAGGTAATTGCTTGTTCAGAACTTTTCAAATGCTTTGTTCTGTGTTTGGTTATGTTTTTGGTAACCTCTATTCAACTCAAAAACCTCATATACAGTTTGGAAGAAAAATATCTTTGTTAAAGAGTCAACACCCCTGCCTTCAATAAAATTCTCTCTCCATTTCTCTGTTGCTTTAAGGAAGCCTCCAGCAAACAAGACAGGCAGAGCCTGATATTTCTAAGTTAAAAACAATAACAACAAAAAGCCCACACTACCTTTCAGACCTTCTTTATACATCTTAAATAAACTAAAAAAGGTACCACACCATTTTTTCCACTATCTATGTAGCCTTTAGTATCAAAGAGCACTACATACAGTATCCTTATGTTAAAAGTGCCTCAGCACCATAAGAAAAAACATCAGGGTTTTCCAAGTCTAATAAATCCTAGCTGCCATTTTGGATTGTGTCCTCTGAGAAGCGAATCCATTTAGTTGTCTTTAAAGGTCTAAACGTTTTGATTTTGTTTGAAAATGCACATTTAATTATAGGTAATGCACTTCAACATGCGCAAAGCTCAAATGTGTAATTCCTGTCAAAAGTAAAGCTTTTAAAACTTTGGAAGCAAAAAGTTGTGGTGCAATCTAGTGTGATAATACTTCTACAGTTACTTTGTATTTACACAGAACCTTTCAGCCACATAATTTAAAGTGCTTTATGGTCAGAGCATGTGTACAAGGTCAATAAAAATTCAGACAGAAGTAGTTGCAGCACGATTAAAAACTGCATCAACACACTACTACTTTACAAATATTAATTAACTAAGCCTATACCCCCATCTTTAGAGATAGGCAATTGTTGTACCCATTTTACAGATTTACAATATAGAGTCTTGCAAATACTATAGTGTCCATTTCATTTTTAAAATATCTGTCAAAGTAATTATTAAAATAAGTCCAGTCATGTTGATTTCAGTTTGATTCAAGGCAAGAAGCAGGGGAATTGATGATTGTCAAATCAAAAAAAGAGAAAACTGACAGGAAAAGACACTTTATATTCAAGCTTAGAGTTAACAAAAAAGTAAACAATGGTCAATATGAGCCATCAGACTTGTGATTTTTAAAAGCTTGTTAATTTATTAATTAAAGAAACAAAATGTGGAGACAAATTACATTTCTTTACTTGACATTTATTTTTAATTTTTTCCCCTTAAAATGCAAACCGACTGCATGCAAGGACGTATGTGTTACTGCAGGTTCTCTAAACAATTTGGTACCCTTGGCTATGCTGAAATGTTAATTTTGTAATATCTTGTAGCAGCGCTTCTTAGCTAATGAATGCCAATAATTATCCCAAATGTAGCGCAGTAGCACACCTGAGAGAAGTGCCTATACCAACATCTCTCAAAACTGGAACCCCCAGAGGGAATATTTTTCCCCTCTCAGTAGCAGGAGCAGACCAGTATCACCAAAGGCTTTGCTCTCACTATCCCGATGGGATCATGGAAGTCATATGTATTAGAATGAGTAATTCTCTGTAACAAGATTCCCAAAGACTTCAATGTGCTTTGAATTGGGGCTTTCAAACACGAATACTGTATACAACACATATTAAATAGATACTATGTTGATTCCTGCATTTAAAGCACAGTCACAAAAGGCTTAATAGAATGGGAAAACGGACACATCCTCAATGTGGCCTCCTGAGTAGATGTCCAACTGGTAATATCAGTGCCCATAATTCACTGCATTTGCAAAGATGTGGATGCAATTATATGCTGGCTTGAAAGTGCACCCCTTTAAAAAAAGCCAGCACTAAAATTCTGACCCCTTAATTTTAAAAGGGACACTATCAACTTAAAATTGCACTTCTGTCTGCCTTTATTTTTATCCCACCACTAATAGTAAGAAAGACCTAATAAGACAATAACTGCATGACTACAGCAAAAACAGAAGAAAAAAAATTGCTCTTTTCCAGTTTGTTTACCTTGGATATTTGTGCATAGTCAGTTTCACTGTTCTCCCACATAGTTAATCAGTTCCCCCTCTTGTTTAGCACAACAAGAGGGGAAATAAAATGATTTTAAAAGAGGAAAATAGGAAAACGTGATGGTAAACCCAGAAAAACTGCCTGGGGAGTCAGGGACAAATGCAATTGCTGAAACAACTTGACTCAGTTTTCTTTTAAAGTGACTGAATTTCAAGTTGATAGTGTCCCTTTAAATGTTCCTGTGGTGGATTCAAATGATTTGACAATATTTTAATTTCATTTTTGGAATCTATATTTCTACATTAGTGGCTTCCCAAGTAAAAGGAGAGGAATTTTTTTCAATAACCTGTCCTGATATGTGGGGCTTCCTCTTGACAATATTATTTTAATGGACTTTATAGAGTTCGCCATATGATGGTGTTGTGTTTTTGTTGTTTTGTTTTTTAATAAATTTGCTTTCATAGAAAATACCGTAGTGTCTTTGGCAGATACTGAACACAAAATCCCCCAGAATATTAATCTGAATTTAGCCCCCTTTTCATCAAGTTTCTCCTACTGAATTCCTTCAATGTCTTATTTTCCTCTCCCACAATTTTCCTATTTTATCTTTTACATTCTGCTTTTTTTTTAATTTTGGTTCAGTTCTTTATAGTCTCATTTTCCACCTGCATACTATTATGGCTTCTTTAGTCTAATCTTTTTCTTGGCTGCCTAGAGTATCATAAAACTAAGTGTGTTATATTTTTCCATATGTCAAAATACCAGCTACTTGTGGTGTAGTCTATCATATGTCTATTTTTAGTCTGTGGTTGATTTGCACCTTCTATTTAGCAGTCTGCCCACTGACACAGACCCAGTCTGGTTTGCAAATAAGATAAAATGGGCAAGGCAGGTGAAATTGAATATTTTCTTCTGATTATAAAACTAAAGATGCAGTCGGACTTGAAAATCAAGCGTTAATAGGCTCTGTAAAACATAGGTTCTGTAAAACATATCAATATTAGGATGGCCCCAATATCTCAAAAACTGTTGCATTTTTATAGAACCCTTCATCCAAATGCATTCTAAACTAATTTACACATTTTACTTTCTTTTTATTAGTCATTTTGCCTATCACACAGAAGTGCGTCCCCTTCTGGGGTGTTAGGATGCCAACAACAATGCAAGAGAGACATCAGCTGCTTTTCAATTAACAACATGCCATATGGTGGCAATAAAAAAAATCTAAAAGGATTTTAAAGTGGCACTTGCATTTCACAGCTCCTTCAATACTATAATTATATTTCTGCATGTCCATATGTATTAGAGATCACAGAGTAAGCCGGTGCTACTAGCCTTCTCCCTTTGTCACCTGGCTCTCCTTGAGTCAAACTAAAATGCAGCTGCCAAGATGAGTTTCCTCTCCACTGTCCAGACCAAGTCTTCTCATTTTTTTAATCTCTACACTCACTTTCCCATTCTTGCCCATTCTGTTCAACGGGTCTTCTTATCTGTGAAGCAATAACTCAGCACTGTCTACATCACTTCCCTTATGTCCTCCTCTATCCTACGACCTCTCAGCACTTTTCACATCTCTGCTTGTTATCTTCCACCTACCCATACCTGACGTGCAACAGGCCAAGCCGATACAGGAAATTTCCTACCTTCTTTCATGCCACCCCCTTGATGCTTATAATAGCCTCCCAATTAATGGGTATCGAGCTCCCTCTCCCCGTCCTACAAGAAACCTTTATGAAGCAGTTTGGTTTTAATGAGCATACCCAATTCTGAGTTTGCAACTCTATTGCATTATCCTGGTTTATTCTCTTACTACCTGTAGACTTCATGCTCTCATGGATTTATAACCATTTCCTCTATGTGCCATGTATACCAACACTCTATAAACAGTAATAATAGAGCCTACAATGTTAATGTTACCAGGACTGGGTTATAAGCCATAGTCGTGCACTGGGGGTATGGCTCTACTCTTGGAGAGATTCAGCGAACAGTCTCATCCATGCCAGGCCAGTTCAGCTGGCAAGTGGGGAACGAGAGCTAGGTGTTATACCAATAAAAACTAGCAGGATCTTATTAAAGGGG